CCCCAAAACCCCAAAACCCCAAAACCCCAAAACCCCAGGGTAGTAAGATAGGATTGATAACGGTAAAATGAATTATCTTTTTAAGAGCTTATTTTTTTTAATAACAGATGCCTTTTTGGTGTTGAATTTTGGAATCTCAGAAGCAGATTTGCTCTTTCTTTTTGGCCTAAGACTTTTGTACTTTAATGCCTTGCTTGTGTTCTTTGTAAATACATAAGGCACTCTATTGATTAGCGCTATATGATAAAATCAATGTGTTACCTTTAGAGCTACTGAGCTCTTTTAACTCATAAATATGAGCATCATAGTAATCCAATGAAGGTGCTCTCAAGAGGATTCAAGAATAGGATCCTCTTTCCTCGGAACTTTGCATCTCCATGATAGGCTCAAGATAGCTATATCAGTCAAGTTAAAAGATGTACTCATATCCGGGAGAGTCAGCTTCATCTTCTTCTTCATCTTGCTCGTACTCATCTTCTGAGTGATCATCTTCAGACTCATAATCGGGTTCTTCTTTGATCTCTTCACCTTGAATTTGGATCTAAAATGAGTGAAATTATATCTAAAAGCGAACCTACATTGGGCATGAACATAGCCTTGCATTTATTTCCTTGATCTCCTTCTCCTAAAGACTTATTAAAATCCTAGCTAAAATAGTGAAGAATAAAAATTAGCGTTTATGTTACCTGTGAATGGCTTCTTGAATCTTTGTAGAGCAATAATCCTCACCATACTTGTCAGAATCGAGGCTGGATCAAAATCTATAATTAAGGTACTGAAAGTACTCCTGGTTTGATTGATCAGATATCCTTTCGCTTTTTATTATTCCTGAGTCTTTAAAATCTTCGTCCTAAAGAAAGTTAGATTAAGTGAAATTTTTCAAACCCAATTATCCAACATGTGATGAAATTTTCTAAAAGAGGAGGATCATAAGTTGATATTATAGCTACAAATACTTAGTGCCAATACTACAATACCCTATCTTTTTGGCTGGCTAGCTGGGAATAAGAAAGTAGGAAAGTTCTTCACTAAATTTCAAAGTTTTTCAGAAGAAGTTCAGCTAATATATCACCAAGTATGCATAAAGGTGATTATATTTTCAAAGAAACTTACGCTATGAGACCCTCCTTTCAAAAGAATGCTTATCCTTCTATTTTATCTAGAGGTTAAATCTACTCGTTACCATGGCTGCTTCTCCGCTCAAGTTTATTTGCCTGATATCTTCTTGAAGATCTTTGCTGAGCTTATCGTTGCTTCGATCAGATTCTAAGTACTCTGATTTGTTCTATTCAGTTAAGAATCGAAAAAAAAATTATTAAGAACGTTATTCGAAAAGTTTAGAGGGAAGGATATGAGGTTTGTGAATATTAGAGAGATGTTTTCCGAGAAGGATACAACTAGTTGAGATACATCCAGTTAATGTACTTTCGGAGGCCAAAAAATTCAAACAATTTTTAAAATCTTGTTAGATAATTGAAAAATCATCTGAAAAACTCTCTTAGTATTTTTTATTGAAATTTTTAATACTTGAAGAATTTTAGTGGCTCTAATTAATCTTAATTCAGCTTCCACAGAAAATTTTAAGCTAATTATAGCAGAAATATATTGTCCTTAGTTCTATTCAACAAAATGACTTAAAATATAACTAATCTTCTTGTAAAATTCATTAATATACCTCATGATTCTCCGATTTAAAAATATCCTGATCCAAAAAGACTCCTGCTCTTCTGTCTCTCTTATTTCACGTGGCTAAAGCTTTCTTCATATTTCCTTAAAAATAAACTTATTATTAATCCACCTCTTTTCTATATATTCTCTCTCCCACGGGGTTTTGGGGTTTTGGGGTTTTGGGGTTTTGGGGTTTTGGGG